ACGTGAGGTCCACCACGTTTCCCGAAGGCTCCGACGGCTTTTTCGAAACCGCTTGGTCCTGCGTCCTAAATGAAAAGACCGACCCGGACCCTGAAAAATCCAACTTAAACATGGGTTATTGACCCAAAAGTATTCTTATGGGAAGTTTGAGGGTTCAGGAACCATCAGTTGTTGTACAAAGGGTCTAGGGTACATACTCAAAGAAAGCATCCCCATACCTGGCTTAGGTGAGATATGTTCATCCGGGATTGTGTGACAGGGGCTTAACGTGTGCCATGTGTTTCTGCCAGGCTCCCAACGCGTACATGCTGCAAGCGCTATGGGTGCTGCTTTAGATGCAAGGATGCTGGTACAATTCCAAGTCAGTACCCTTTTTCTATCAATCACGGAAGCTGACAGGAGACTTTTGGAAGAATTATCCGCTTGAAAAGGCCTCGACTTGAACGATTCTGGGCCAAAGGGGAATCTGAGGTGCAGCACACAAGTGACTTGTCAAACGTGGAAGAGCATGTTTCAGCTATCTGGCTCATCCGGGCGCTCATCAGAACAAACAAGCACGTAATACAAATAAATGGGGTTGTCCTTTCTCAGGGGACTCCCCGTCCCCGAAAAAAAACGGTAGTTTTCCATTTAGGTTCCCTTTAAAACCACAAAACATGAATATTATTATGTCCCGTTTTTTTTAGAAACTGGGTAACACCATGAAAACAATCAACATGCGACAGGATTGGCGCCACCCTCCAAGTTGACTGAGATGGAGACACTTGTTGGGTTGACAAAGCCACCTGAACCCTCAAACTATCCATTAAACAAGGGCAATTCACCGGATAAATTTGGGGCAACATGGGGCAACAAGGCATTTTGGGGGACATTTGAGGGTCCATCCCCTTTCAGCACCCCGCAAACAGCTGCTTAAGATCCCAAGTACTGTTCAACAAAACAGTGGCTGGGGGGGGTGCTGCTTTGGGTTTTCTTTTGGGAAGCTTGAAATCGTTTAGTTTGCTCAGATCAAGATGGAACGTCAAGGACCCCATGTTTACTACCATCTCCAAAAAGAAATTTCTGGTAGCTCCCCAACTCTCTCCCTTGTTCAAAGGCAAAATTGGACACCCCCAGCTCCCTAACGGCTTCCAACCACCAGCCGGATTCAGACCTTTGGGATGACCTGTCCTTCCAATGTGCGGGGAGTTACCCACTCCGAATACTCCGGATGTCACCCGGATGTCACCAGCTCTCTGAGCCGCCGGCCGATGGTTGAAATAGAAGGGTCTGAACAACACCGCAGAGTCCTGAACGGCTTGGAGGTACCCTCCCAAAACAAACGCAGAACTTGAACTGGAACCGGCTTCTCAAAAAAAAGGACACCTTGCAGGTTCCATGAAGTTCTGGGTGGTCCTTACCAACGACATCTTTACACCTCCCTTGCACAACAGACCCGGAAATAGAAATTACCCTGAATCTAAACAAACATGGCACAAACAAAACACACCCTTGTTTGGTTGGTGAAATCCGAAGAGGTTTCTGCACCCTTCAAAAGAAAAGGAGGACCTGGACCCTCGAACAACTTCTTTGACCTGGGGCAATTGGTTGACCCCGAGATTCTGGAGTAGGGTGACTTCCAACTTGTTATGTGCAGTTCTTTCGGGTGGAGAACAAAGGCTGGCCCTGGCGGCCTGGCAGAAATCATCTACCTGGACCCGAAAAAACTATCCATGCAAAAAAGGGGAAGTCAAACCAGAACTTTGAATCCAAATCATAATTTTGGGCCCCTATCCCAATTTTTAAGGGAACAACCTTAAAAACAAGAGGGAAATCACACCATAACTTTGGGCCCCTCTCCCAATGGGTCGTTTAGGTCGTCGATTCCTTTTGGTCGGACGTGGCTCTCGGCTCTCGAGTCGAGGGAGTCGGAGCTCCTTCTCATCGAGAAGCGCACAGACCAGGTTGGTGTAGGCTTGGTTTGCCCCCGCCGTGACCATCACCTGGCCGGTCGACCGATCCTGTGGTTCATTCGCCAAGTTCGTAAGTTCTTGAGAACCTAGGCAACCCACTTATCAGCCATCCGAAGCGGAGTTAACCTTGTCATTGGTGGGTTTCAACCCAGGTGGGTTTGTCCACCTTGGCGAATCTGTGGATCTGGAAGCGTGGGAACAAGTGGAATCCACTTCACTGGCTTGCTCTTCGGAGCTAGAGTCGTCGACCACCCTCAAACCCATGAAAACCGGGACTTCACCTTCGGCAACTTTGGGGGCAAAAGTCATCGTAAGTTGGACATTGGAGGGTCCAGGTCACCTGCTGCAGGTGTTTTTTGAGAACCGAATTTCTTCGCCCTCCTTTCGCGCCCTTGACACCAGGCCACCTGCTGAGCCTTCCACAAAAAATGACGACCCTTGCGAACAAACCGTTTTCTCAGCACTCCAAAAGCAAGCTTGACCCCCCCCTTCGCCGACGGAATCGGACGGAGAGCACCTCCACGCCCTCAAGAGCGTTCTCCTTGCGAAGCTTCTCCTGGCCCGATGAACGTTCCTCGGTTGCTTTCTGCTCCCCTGCTAAACGTTTAACTCTTAGTGGTTTAATGGAAAACCTAACCTCCCTTCAGTCCTAACCTCCCTTTGCAAAATGCACCAATGCTTCCTTGGCACCATTGATACGCCTACTAAACCCTTACAATGATTCTTGTTTCGGGACCCCATCACCATAGGCCATGCAAGGAGTTTTGAACATGACTCATATGTCCGTGAAGACCATCCATGTAACCCTAGGTAAGGACACTCGCTTGAGGGATCTGGAAACCCAAGCCTGACTTTGGAGGATACGCACGGCCATTTGTGCGGCAAGTGTGGTCAAATCGCTCCCCCAGACTGCGGATTTGCGCTGCAAAATCGGCACCTTGGTGGATGTTCAAGGTGTCCACTCCATGCCCCAAAACGAGTAGAAAAGGGCTCCACTGAAGCTTTGGCTTGCCACGCCCCTGGGTAAGGAGGAGCAGACATCGGCCGTACCTCAACCCGCCTGTCTTCCATTTGCTTAAGCCCCATGCAGCAAAACAACATATTTCCAGTAGCGACATATGGCTGTGGCTCACAAAACCGGAATTCCAAACTGGGTTGCCCGGTCGGTAAGTGGAAACATGGACCAAAACCTGCGGAGCCAGCCCCTCCTGTTTCATTTTGAGCCACACCCATATTCACTTTAAACCCAACAGGGGACACTAAAAAAACAGCTCTTCTTAAGCAAATGGTTCCGGGGCGAGGATGCTAGCTGTACTGGGAACCCCCAGAAGAAATCAGAACTGATCGATTTTGAGCTCCAATTTGGTGGGATTCCCCTCTAGGACAGGGTCCGGATTCAACACTCTTCCATTTCTTGGGACCCTGGGAAGCTTCTCAGCTGGCTTTTCAGCCCGGAAAGTTCGGCCTGAAGAGAACGATGGCTGAAGAGAATAGATAATCAACCCTGTGGATGGGTGAAATCCAGAAATCGCACCACCTAAGAAACCTTGGAATTAGATGTTTCCCTGTAAATACAAAACAATGGTTTCTCATGGTCTTTTAGGTGATGCGACATGGATTTTAGTCTGGCAATGTTATATATACCTGCACCCTCAACATTCCCTCAAAAATTGATGGTTGCCCCAAACTATCGGCGAGATCCCTTTTTGATGGGCAGTGGCGCAGGTCCGAGGAGAAACCAGAAGGGCTCAACTGCAGCCACAAATTGACAAGCCAGAAATCTGGGTGAATTAAACGGATACCCTAAGCATCATCGGAAGAATGTGGCCTCAAACAGGCCAGGAAGGTCAAAGAAGGCAAAAACAAGGCCCTTCGAGCCAAAAATTACTGTGGATGCACGAAATCCAGCACCTCAGAAACTTTTGAGTTTCCTGTAAACACCAACAGAGAACCGTTGCATGGTTTCGAATTGGGCAGGATTTCGTATGGTACGGCACCATAAGGCCAAAAAGGCAAAAAGAAGCCGCACGGAAATCTGGACTGGAGCCTTCAGGGCAGCCCGCAGGGACGGCCTCAGGTCAAGCAAGTCCTCAGGACCTTTTGGATGAGCACCCAAAGCTTGCTTGGAATTGCCATCCGTGGCTTTTGTGCCCAAGCTCGAACCCGGGTTGAATAACTCAGATGCCCCCTCACCTATTCGCTGTGAGACTCCCTTCAAAGTGGAAGCATCTTTCCTCGATCACTCCAAGGGTTAACTCCGTCTGATTGACGCAGCTACGGGCTTTTTGGGAATGAACCGTTTGGGAACCCACGGAAACCACAGGAGATGGTCAGTTCTGGGCTCATTGAAAGCCAGCAAGTCGGAAACGACCCAGTTTCCCTGACGGGTTGGGCTCAAGAGAATCATCCCAGAGAGTGACAACTTCCAGTGAGGTTATCATCCCGGCCAAGGACTCTGGATCTTGTTCTGGAGCAACCCTTGGGGGGGTTGTGAAAGAAACGACTATGTTGGGAACAAAGAACATATCCCTCAGGGCCCTTTTCCACGAAAGTAGATATACATAATATATATAGACAAGTAAGAACCAGATCAAGGTATTGTTGACTGCGTGTTTGCATCAACCCCCGTTGAATAGGGGTCCCGTGTCCCTGGGTTTATTGGGGAATCAGACGACTGTTGGACACTCGTGGAGCGGCCAAAAGCCACCCCCTACTGTGGATGGACGAAATCTTGCACCACCTAACAAACCCTGGAATGGTGATTCCCGTGTAAATACCAACAAGAAATAGTTTCCCATGGTTTCAAAGTGGTGCGAAACGGATTTTGTCCATCCGCAGTATTAGTAAACAGAGGTCGATTCATCCGCGGTCAACACCTCTCCCCGAGCTGGTTGGCATCCACATTTCCCTTCAATCTCCAAAGGTGTGGTCCCGGCCGGCAGCGCAGAAAGCAGGCTAAACTCTCCTTGGGTGTGCTAGCAAGAGATTCGCCACTTGGGCTATCACCCACAAATAATAGGTTACCCAAGCAAATAGCCGCTTGGCCTATCAGTCGCTCATCCGCTGAACCGATCTTTGGCCCAGGCATGCCGTCATCGTCACCTCACCGAGCGAATCGGCGAAGGAGAGCCATCTGCACTCCGAACATTGGCCGCATGGCTCTGCAGCGAACCCCAAAGGGCACCAGAAGATCTGGCCGTCTACGAGGGACTTCTCCTGGGGGGTGGTTGATGGTCTCGTCACTTTGCTCTAATTGGTTGTTTGAGAAGGAGCCAAGGGCAGTGAGTTGAGTCGAATGAGCCTGAAGGCCAAACATATTGACTTCCATTTGATTTGCCTGTGGATTGAAATGGTTGTTTTTTGTTGGAGGGTACCCTTGTTAAATGCTTTCAAAGGGAAACCAGAAGTAAAACCAACCATTTGAGGGATACTATCACGCAACCCTTGGTCTGAATTAGTTTGGAAACTTGAACCTCCTTGAGCCGCCCAAACCAGCGAGCTGGCAAAATACCATTCGTTGCCTTGATTGATACGAGGCAAAATATCCCTGTCAAGGGCAAATTAAGTGCCAGAACTCGGAACATTTCCTTTTTAACATGGGTTACTCTCCAACATGTTTATGTGTAGTTCTTTCGAGTCCAGGTTGGTACTAGAGGAGAATTAAATAATTCCCCTTGGCGGAAAAAGTGGTTTTGGTGAAACAACAAAAACAAGTCTATCAGCAAACACGTTTTTTTTTGGTAAACCACCCTTTTATCAGAGCAAACAACGAGTTGCTTCAAACAAACAACAACATTGAAGTTTCAAGTCCCCAGTTGTGATCACGTCAAAAGTGAGCCGAGGCGCCATAGGAGTTGGTGTCCGGCTCCTGAGCCGCCCTCCGTGCCGCCTGAGGCCAAAGTTGCCAAGAGATGGACATTTGATTCCCACAAAGGCGATGCATTCCCCCAAAGAGTCCGCTCTTGAGTCAGCTCTTGAGGGTTTTGGAGCTTCTTCAGGGTTTTGGAGTTCCATGGTGATGTGAAGGGAATGTTTCCCCTTTGTAATATACCAAAGTGGGCCATCCGATTGACGTTGTAAGCCGACTCCCTTGGTATCACAAACGGTAGGCGCAATATACCACAAATGCCGAATTTGCAATGTCAGTACATATTACTCATATACAAGTTGTATAGCCAAGTGTACAACTTGTTAGGAATAACTACCCTGGAGGGTCAGGGAAGCGCACACGGTTCATCCCCTAGACCATTGAGGAGTGAGACACCTCCCCCCTATTCCGCCTTTCCCGCCCTTGGATGACCATTCCATTTTGTAAGTGGGTCATAAGTCATGCACCTGCTGAATAAGTATTGGGGACTGTCCACTTGTATTAGCCGCTTGCTAAGTTGGGTGGTCATCCAAATATATGGGCCGCAAAGCTTTGGCGGGAAAAAACCGATCGCAAAAAAAACACAAAAACTAGAGTCATCCGAGCAAACCAAACCATACTTAATTACTTGCCTAAAGTCATCCAAGCAGACCAGACCTTAACGTCATCCAAGCACCTCCCCCGCCCTCGCGCACTCAAACAGCGCTCGCGCCTCCGTCGCTTCCTCCGGCGGCTTCCAAAAGACGATCCCCTGTGCGAGCGACAAGATGCCCTGCTTGCCCCGGAGCATGCGCTGCCTGCGCGGGCTGGACAGAGAGGGAGGTGAGGGGTGGTTCTCATTTACACGCTACAAGAACCAGGGCTTCAATGCCCCAAAACACCAAACCAACCTACCTACCAAGGGTTGCCTGAATGGACGGTTAGGTTGGGTAAATGATTTGCTGAATGGTTCGATGATAAACGGGTTGCTTTCAGATGCCAAGGACACATGATTGTCCTTTAGAACAAGCTGAAACTCGTTCGTTTGGGCGCAGGGTCCCGCAGGGTCACCTGAGAGTAGTACGGCCCCATCGCGGAATGACATTTGGAATGGGGACTAGTTGAAATAGGCTTTGCACCACAATGAAATGCATTGAAATCTGGGTTTGTCATATTAAAAAAGGGATTGTTAGTTTCTGGGGATTGTGCACTCTTTCTGGCATCCTTACAGCCCTACCTAGTCTGAGAATCCCATGTGTGAAGCCACCATGACGCAGCCCCTCTTTACAGTGTTGCGAAGTCTCCTGCGCAAAGATAGAAACATGGACACGGAAGAGCACCGCAACACACTTTTCCAAACTGCTCGATGTTTGCTTGGTGGTCCTTCCCCTTAGGTGTTTAGCTTGTTTGGTTGTTTGGTGGGGTTTTCCATTTCACCCGCCAAAAGAAGACACTTTGCCAAAATAGCCACATGCCTTCTTGTGTCAAGTTGCGGGCCCAACACGGTGGTTTTGCTTTGGGACTCCCTTTCAGCAACCCAAAAGTCGGCCAGAGACTGCACCTGGATAGAACTACCCATCAAAAAGTTGGACTTCACCAGTTCCATACCTTTGGGCTGCAAAATTTGGAGGTGGTCTCCGAGCCTGACAGGGGGACATAGGGTTGAAGCACCGAAATCATTTCGAAAACTCGACATCCCCATTGTTTATAGTTGGAACTTTGGTTGCCCATGACTATGTACTATGGGCAGCCCATGTTTTTTGTTAATACTTGGAACTTTGGTTGGTCCAGGTCAAGGCAAAATCCCTGGAGCTAGTTCCTCCAGTAGAAAAAACATAATTAAGCTACCCCACCTTTTTTCTTTCTAGTCATTCAAGTCTATTTTAGTAGGACAAAAACAACAACCCTCCCCCCAAAAAAAAAGAAACGGTGAGAAGCTCAGTTGTTCAGTGACCCTGGAAAAAATGGGAACCCTTTTTTGGCTTGGACCATTTTAGTGGGGCCACCCAAAAAACAGTTGGAAAAAGAATTGGTGCCACTGAACATAAGCCACCCCACTTTTTTCTTTTTAGTCTATTTCGTAGAAACAAAAACCCTCCCCCCCAAAAAAAAACGAAACGGTGGGAAGGGCCGCCAATTGCTGGGGGACCTGGAGCTCAGTCTGGAGCCGAGGCATCATGAGGCTCCGGCATGGCCACGATGCAAGGCTCATCCGTGACGCGGATGCGCTTGCTGGGGCGCAGCACCTTCGGAGGGAGCGGTGGATTTCAGGGGAAGCTGTTAGCTTTTAGAAGAAGTACATTAGACGTCGGATGAAAATGCGGATTGTACACACACGTACTTGGGTTTGCCCTAAACCCTCAAACAATCCCCTCAAAAATGGGACATTGTCCCAGATGTTTGGGGGAATTACCCCATTTTGGAGTTGGACTTTTTTGAGGGTTGATCAAAGCCAGCCCAGCTGGGAGTGGGGAGTCGGAGATACCCTTCCACAAAGAGACATAGAACCTCGGTCCCCTCGAAGCTGGCCCAGGGTCAAAGTCACCCAATTGCTAGGTAATTGCTAGGTGACAGGGGACTTTGATACCCTTACCCCTTAAAACTCCAAGCCCTGGGGAAGTTAACCTTTTACAGACATATAGCCCATGTTGCCCCCAAAAGTTGAAAAGTTGTGATTTTAAGAGGTAAGTACCCCCAAACAGACAAAACAATGACCCAAACCAGGTTTGCCCAGAGCAAGACTTCATCGCTGGAGGGATACCTTCGGGTGGTCCGTAGGTTGGTTTTGGTCTTTTTTTTACGTTCGGTCCCGAAGCCACTTCGCACGACCCGGGTTGGAGTCTCCATGACCCGGGCTCAAAATGGGCTCATGGCCCCGGTATTTTTGACCATGACCCCATTTTGGAACTCGCTGGCTGAGTGGATGGCCCCAAAAAAGTCTAAACTTTATATTTACCACTAAAATGGTCTTCCCAAAAAGTTTAAAGTTCATGAAGTCAGGAAGTGAGGAATAGTCATGGAGAGAATGCCAGTATTCATGTCCCCAATGCGGAAACTTCAAGATCCATATTGTGGATGGTTTCGAAATCCGCCTCTCGAACCACCGTTCAGAAACCCAACGGCATGAAACAAATCGCCTGTAAATGCCAACAAACCATGGCTTCCGACGGTGAAAATAATTCAGGATTTCGTCCATCCGCAGTAGTTTCGAGCTGTCTTTAGGTGCACCTAAGTACCTGGAGTCTTCATGACCCCAAAAACATGGGGTCATGACCCCTTTATTTTGGGTCATGACCACATTCTTAAAGGGTCATGAAGACTCCAGGTATAGCCTACTCCAAATACCGCTGTTTATTCTCCCTACCCCGACAAAACCAAGGTATGCGGAGAAGACGAGGGGAGGATAGAGAGCAGAACCCCAAACCCTCACCCCCGTCGCTCACAATCCAATTTTCAATATGCTGGCAACTAGAAACCTAAACCATCAAAACTCCAAATGTGGCTGAAATTTTGGGGTGGACCCATTCTTCCTATGGCTGTAACTCCAACAATGAACTTAATATTGACCAAAAAGCAATCCTTACAACGGGATACTGTTTTACATGGTTATGGGAAATGACCACTTCTGTGATACAGCAAAAAGGGCTTCCCGAAGACTAACACCCCATATAAGGGGGAGATTCCCTTGTATCACAGAAGTGGTTGAATAAACCCCTTGATTCCACAACCCTGCTGTCTTAGAATGCAGAAAGACTGAAAACACGACATGCCAAAGGCAACTGCAGGCCATGTATATAAGCCAAAAAGAAAAACCCGCTGACGCCTGCGATGGAAATGGCAAAGGCGAAAATATACTGCTCGGCAAACCCCCGAGCAAAATAGGTCCAATGGAAAAGCCGCTTTGTTTCCAAAAGCTCTGAGCTAAGCCCGGGCTTTTGATTTCCTGAAAAGAAGGAAGAAGGATCCCTGGAAAGAATGGACATGGAAGGTACCCCCTAGAGATACGGCCGAGAAGCAATTTTCAGACACCCCACTCCCCGACTCCCCGCGCGGCCCAGACACCTCAGACGCCTCGCTGGCCATCTGGGAAAATCGGGCCACGCCGGCGACGCGCGGCGCAGCGAAAAGGCGCCTGAAGGTCGAGAGGACGCGTCAAGGCCTGTTCGCATCAAAGGCGCCCTGAAACAGGGATCCTTACATTATAATGTTAACCCCGGATTAATAAACCCCTGGTTGATTAATGGGGGGGTGTCCCCTTTTAGTGGGGATTCAGACCTTCTTGGAGGGAGCACCCCCTAATAGTGGGACGGGTTGATTAATCCGGGGTCAACATTACAGCTGAACATTGCCTTGCAAATGGTGGTTTCCCTTTACTTTGGTGGCAAAAGCAACATGTTTCAAATGGGCAACATGTATCTTTTAAGGAGCCCTGGTAAACAGACCCTCTTTGACTCAGATGCCCAGTGGATTTCCATGGGGCAAAAGCGCATCCGATTTGTTTGGTTGGTTGACATTGAAGGAATCGGAACCCTTCCCAAAGGAAAAAGGGTAGAACTGGGCGACTGGGTTGAGGATCAACAGCTTCCAATGGAGGTCCGTCAGCACCCCTTGAATGGAGGGTCGAATGATGAATGATGGGTGATGAGTCAGAAGGATTGAGGGACACAATCAAGATTCACAGGGTGTGAAGTAGGTTGGCTGGGCACTCTGATACCCGTGAAGGATCGATCCGGTTGATACGCCTGAAATTCTCCAACTGTCCAGCCCCCATTCGTAGCCCATTCGGCCGCGATGGCTTCGGACCCTTTTCATATGACTCGACTGATTGAAACGAAACAAGCCGCGGAAAGGTGGTGAACCTGAGTCCCGAAGTGTCCTCAATTCCAAACGGAAACGAGTGGGGTCGACTATGTGTTTGGGGTGCCTTTTTCGTACTTTGAATCATCTTCCAAAGTTGAGAAAAGTTGTGTTTTTAAGAGGCAAGTATTGCATCATCAGCTTCCCATTTGGCTTGGATTGGCGGTTTGGAGGCTCGCGGGCTCCCATTTACCCTCTCAGAACCGGGGCTTCAGTTTCCCCACGCACCAACTGGTTGGGTCACCTGACCGCCAAAAGCGACGGGGGTGACTTCAAGGGCCCTTAAGACTCAAGACGTTTGCAATGAGCTCCGCGGGGTTGCAAAGGGGTAATGACCTAAGGAAGGGAATTGACTGACAAACATGAGTAAAGACAGGCCTTACCTCACTCAGATCCATTTACCTGCAGGCAAAAGGGCAAGTGCCGCCCTTTATGTTGACCCCACATTTATCAACCCCTGTTTCTCAATATGTTTCTGTAACCAGGTTGACTCATTCATATGGGGTCAACAGTAAGGCCGCTCCACCCTGGGATCTGGGTCAAAGCATCCCGACCGTCGGGTGCCAATCCTGACTCTCGCTCTCTCGCCCGCCTCAAGCCGCGATGGGCAGGCCTACAGGCACCAGCACTTGAACTCCTGGAAGTTTCAAGCTGCACGTTCCAGGGTTACGCAGGTTTTACTCTTTGGTTCCATTTATCAAGGGGGCCATTTTGGTACATTTATTTGAGCCACACCCACATAAGAAACAGATGATGTAGAAATGGAAAGAGCAAACACAATTGTCCAAAAGCTCTAACCGTTCGGGGATTAATTTTGGGGGTCCCTGAAGTGTAGCCAGATGTAAAGATGCCCAACATACTGCAACCAATCCAACCACGCTTAACCCCAACACCATACCAGAATTGCGTTAGATTCGGTGATCTATCACTCAACAGTCTATATATACTATAACTCAACATCTGATGCTGTCAGCACGAGCCGATCCCGGTCATCCTGGTCGGTGCCAGTTTTTATCAACTGGGCTTGGATGACTGACATGCACTGACTGCTGGTTGTCCAGAACCTCCATTTGATTAGTTCCCAGAAAATATGTCCAGTAGTAAGATCGATTCCCTTTAACACCAACCGGGGAAAATAAAACGTGCATATTCATTTCAGCAAATGTAAGATAACTTTTGGCAACTTCTGAGCCAGCGCACGTCAGAAAGACATGTTCGCCTGGCCCAAATTTTGTGCCCAATGCGAGCCAGGGAGGCTTTGTCCTGAAAACGCCACGGCCAACACCGCCTCATGACCATAGGTGTCCTTTTAAGGGAAATAGATGGCCCTGGTAGATGATTAAACCACCAGGTAAACCAGGGCCATCTGTTTTTCTGGCAAAACAACCAAAAAGGACACCTGTGGACTAAACTCTTCTTTCTGCATAGCAGCCTTCCGTTAACCCCCAGTTCACCCTTGAAACGAGGCCTCAACCGTATAAGGGATCATATGGGTAAATGCTTCTGGAGGGGACCCACTTTTAGGTTGGTTGAAAAGGGAATCAACTGGAGAAACATCATTTTGGGGGTTTCCTTTGAGGGAAACTCCTTTCGGTTCATTCCCAAAACCCGGACTCGGTCATTTCCTACCTATCGAACCAACAAGATAAACGACCGCCCCAAAAACTGTACCTGAACCCGCAAACTACCCATCAAAAAGTTGGAATTCACCGACCACAACTTTGGTGTGCAATTTGCCCCATTCTTCACTTGGAACTTTGAGGGTCCAGGTACCTGAACCCTACCAAATGGCAAAAAGGACTAAAACCTGCGGTCCCCTGGTTTCACTTTGACCTACACCCATACCCAGGAAACGCACCGCCCATTTCTTGGTTGATGTTGGAAGGGGAGCAAACATTTAAAATTTAGCAGTTCAGTGAGATTTCAACCACTAAACCATAATAAGCAAAAATGCAAATGTTTCCCAACAATAACCATGAAAACCTAAAACCTGCGGTCCCCTGGTTTAACTTTGACCTAGACCTACACACATACCCAGTAAACGCACCGCCCACTTTTCTAGGGGTAGCTTCCCCATTCTTTTCCCGGATCCTTGTTTCTAGAACACCACCAAACACCCCTGGGGAAATGGATCTGGTTTTTGAAAAGAACGATGGCTGAAAAGAATGAACAAGGTCAAGGAATCAACCCCTCGAATCTTATGAAACGGCCATTTCAATCTGAGGACTCCGCAGCGTGCCCATGGCTAAGTTTTGGCCCGGACGCCAGTTGACGGTTTGAGCCAAAGGAGCGATGTTCCAACCCCGTGCAGGGTGTGAAATGGCGGGGGGAGGCGGGCGGGCGGGGGAAGGGGGAAGAAAAAAACTGTAAACATCCCATTCCCCTGGGGAATTCCGGGAAAAAAACGTGACTCCAACTTAATAATTTCTCTACAGCTCTTGATATAGAAGCAACAAACAGTGTTTTTTTGCAGCCACCCAGAGAAAATGAACAGAAACAACCAACCAAAAAGCAAGACACGTGCAAGAACAGTGACGCCCTAAGGCTCATGACCCCTCCAACGCAGGCCTCTGGCCCTACTGGGGATGGACGAAATCTTGCACCACCTAACAAACCCTGGAATGATGATTCCCCTGTAAATACCAACAAGAAATCGTTTCCCGTGGTTTCAAAGTGGTGCAGGATTTTGTCCATCCACAGTATGAAGAACCTGCGCCAATTCATGCCAATTCCTCAGTTGGAAACAAGCGATCGAACTGGAACCTTAGGCGAGGACTGAATCTCGTTTTCTTGTTGGTGTCCCTTGACAAAAGCAAAGCTATTCGGTTGCGAAATCTGCTCCCCTGCTAAAAGTTTAACTTTTAGTGGTTTAAAGGAAAACCCATTAGTTGACAAAAAGTTAAAGTCTTAACATCCAAGCAAAAATGCAACAAAGCTAAGTTTCTGGGGGTGTCATGCTGTTGGACAATGTCCTGCTCCCGGGAACTGTGATAAACCTAGCTGGTCCGCTTCGCGGATCTCGTCCACAACACCAACCGAAAAAGTAACTGTGGGGTTCGGCACCGACTTTAGTATCAGCGTCCCTCGTTTTTTGGTGGCTAGCCCGGTGGTTTATGGTGGTGGCTGACCCATTTGCCCACAAAGAGGTTCAAACCCCCGAAATCCAAACCAGGGATACCTGATAGTATGTGGGTATATGTCGGCAGTCTTCCTTGTGGGTGTCCCTGTGAACACACAAAGGGGAACCCTCAAATAAAAAGAGACATCCATAGATGCATGGGCGACACCACCATTCCCTGGAAACCAATTGCAGTCAGTCAAACTGATGCCTCTGGAATGCAGGAGCTTTGCTGTCCATGTTTCGCATCGATGAGCTTCATGAACTCGGGGCTTTGAAGGAGATGCTGGCTTTGGAAGAGGTGTAGCGAAAACTTGTTTCAAACCAATCTCGGTGGCAAGTCATGTAGATGCCATGGCGAGTGATGGTCAGGGCAGCCTTCATCAAGTAGCCGTCATCCATGTCTCTAGCCTCCCTCTGAAGCTCACGAAATTGCTATGCCCAAATGCTCCACATATGGATTGGCCATCTCAAAACAAGGAACTTCTCGTCCATACCCTGCCACCTCCTCACAGTAATGACCAATGGTCATCTCATCCAGCAAGAGGTTCGAGTTTCCAAACTGGCGTCCTGTCCCCTGCCACCCACCCACTCACTTACCCCCCACCCACGCACGCCCGCACGCACACACGCACACACCCACCCACCCACACACGCACGCACGCACCCACGCATGCAGGTGGCATTGCATGTCAAGGTAGGATTGCAAGGTTATCCAGGTTCATGCTGAGGTGCCGCTTGCTATCCTGGCGGGATGTAGGTGTCGCTTGCTATCCTGGCGGGATGTTGAAGGCGCTTTGAAAAAGCGTGCTTGCTAGTCCTGCGTTGCTGCTTCTCTGCATGAAGAGCATTCAATCAGACAAATCGGTGCGTCCCTCTCACGCTAGCGGAGTGATCAGGAAAGCTGGCTTTCAAAATAGAAAACACGCCATCTGCCCAAATACAATGGTACCTAAACCCTCGAATTCCCCTTTCAAAATGGATATTGCCCCCAAATTATGGGGTGATGTTCATGTTTTTATGGGTAGTTTGAGGGTCCAGGTAGGCAATTTCAGTATATCCCCCCATGCCTCTCCCCATCTAATCATATGAGGCATCGAAATTGCTTACGTACGGTTATTTCGTTACTGGATCCCCCATGTTTGCCAGCGTTTCCAAAAATCATGTCGACTATGCCAACGTTGGACCGACTCGTTGTCTCTCGACTTCCAACTTCCCCCAACATGCGCGCCATTTTCTACGCCTGAAATAATCGATTCGGTCCTCAACTGCTCGACCATTCAGGAATATTTTGTCGCAATGACGGCAGCGCGCCCTCAATGCTACCACCCCGAGGGTCTGATCCGGGCACAATATAAAGAATTTCACATGACTGGGCTGCCCTCAGATCCCCTGCTGAACTTTTAACATTTTTAGTGGGTTAAGCCTAAAAAACCTGGAAAGCTAAATGGATGGCTGGGCGCCACCAAGATACCACACCCCAACTTGGGTCTCAGAGCAAATGTTGGGCCCCAAATCCGCGGATCGAGTTCTCCGACCCTTCGGGCATGCAGCGGCTCCTACCTACGTCGGCACGCGCTCTCGCCTCCAGAGATCTGCTTCAAATGATCCTTTCCCTTGGGAAATGAAGCCGGGATACGTGGAGTCAACAGAGAAAAGCTTCCTGGATGCGATGCAAAGGGAACCAAGACGCCAGGAGCAGTTTGCATGGAAATTGAATTGAGAAGCCGTCAGCGGACCTGGAACCCTCAAGAAGCCGAAAATGATGTCCCCTTTTCTTCGGTGGTTTGAGAGTTCAGGGACATCATTCACACGGGGAGCTTCTTCCTTTAAGCACTTCGGAGGTTCCAAGCTGCACGAGTCATAGCATGTCATAGCATGTCATAGCCATGGCTTCCGATTCTTTGCACAGAAAGCCTGAAACAAGACGCTAGTGGAACCTCTTTTGGTAGGGCTCTGACCCCGCGTTCCTCTTTCCTTGCATCCCCTCAACCAGAGGTTCTGCAGGAACCATTCTGTAAGCCTGGTAACTGGGGCGTACATCTGGATCTGTTGCTCGGGGGTGAACCACAACCATGTAGACTGCTATGACATGATGCTTCCTGGTGGACTTTGTGTGTGGGACTTTCCTGAATCATCTCGCCTACCTTGGACCAATAGGACAAGTGTAAAACCTGTGGATTCACTTGCCAGCTTGATCTGTCTCCGCATGATCGTACGGGTTTCGAGATGGATTCCAAACACAAATTGTGTTGGAATGATTCCATGGCAACAGCATGGCAACCTTCATGGTGAAGAACGAGCCAGCGAGAATTTCTGGATTGAAACTGGGTCTGTGGGGTTTCCCATCCAAAGCGGGCAATGCAAAAAAAACCTCCCCCCCTTCCGGTTGCCTGAATGAGCGCCTTGTGAAAACAATAATGCTAAAGGCCAACCAAGGCCAAACAAGGGTTCTTGGGTGTTCAACCAACGTCAGGTAAGTAGGTCATTCTCGGGGACAATCACCAGATAGTTACCAAGCACTCAAAACTATGTTATTGTAGCCTACTTACCTTGGCAACGAACATCCAGGTACCCTCATCAGTGGATTACCAACCAGCTACAACAACGTGCATCCCCAGTGGATCCCAGGCGTTTTGCCACTGTAGTCGGGTAACCCTTCGATCCATTTTCCATTTGGGTGTTCTAAAGGGTGGCAAGCGCCTGGTTACCTCGTTGGAAATTAAAAGGAATCACTGGGCTGTTTGCAACAATCACGGAAGTGGGTTCCGGAACCTTTCCCCAAAAGGAAAAGTCGTCTGGGCTGTCCGTTTTCAGATCCCCAGCTCAACGTTTCACTTGTAGGCGAAATGGGGGAAGAAAAAAACTAAACCCACTAATAACATCTAAGAAGCTGGCTTATCTTACAAAATATTGTCATGTATCATGTGTCTGTTTTGTATCTGAACATTTCGGAACCGGACGGCTTTTTAGCCACGTAGTCGACTCTAAGGCCTTCCGGTCAGCTTCCTCCTGGTTCAAGCATGGATTTGGCCGCTGGACAGCCAGAGAGCTTCGAGTTCGTTTTGGGGGTCGCCCAGTCGGAAAGTGGGGTCCCGGACCCATGCGAATGGGAGAGCAAGCGACGGTAGCTTTGACCTGAATCCTCAAATCCCCCCCCCCCAAAAAAAAGGGGAGGACATTCACCCCATTCCATCATTTTGGAAAATAAGCCCCATGTTTAAAGCAAATTACCTTACTCTTATCTGAGGTCCGTTTTCCGATCCCCCGCTAAAGGTGTAACTTTTAGTGGGCTAAATGGAACTACCACTAAACACTAAAAAGCTAAGGGGATGGCTGGGAGCCACCAAGTTATGTACTGACGTGAACCCTCGAATTACCTGGAGTCTCCATGACCCTTTAAAGATGGGGGTCATTACCCAAACCAGAGGGGTGATGGACCCATGTTTGAAGGGTCATGGAGACTCCAGGTACCAAAAAAAGAGGTTTACCCCGTTTCCATCATTGTAATTTTTCCAACATAAGTCCTTTGTTTAAAGCTGTTGTCGGTCATTACCGTAATGACGGCAATTCCAAAGTTGGTTTGAGCAACAATGGGCAAACATGTGGCATTCAGTCGCCTGCCTAAATGGGAGCGCAGGATTTGTACTCTGTTGGTTGACGGATTTGGTGGATATCTATTATAAGATTGATTACGCCCGGGTCGACATATGTCAAGCAACTAAGCTATGGTGCCAGGTACCCGATTTGACTTCCTTCAAACACGGTATTTGGTCGTATCTGCCCCTGAAGCTCACTTGTTTGGGTCAGAGAGGAACTTGACTTGCATGACAGTCTGGAAACAAACACACATAAACAAAAAACTCGCCACCAAAAAAGCTTGGCACAACTAGCAAAACCGTCCATTGAGGTGCTGTTCTGTAGCAAGTGGAGCTTGCCCCCCCCATCGCAAGTTGGTGCGCTGGGCTAAACCACCTGCTGACCGGGCCGAACACCCAATCAGAACGGCCGTGAATTGGACCGGGCCCGATCCGCTAGCCACTCACTCGCCTCACTTTTCCAATGGCGTTTGGCTGGACTGGAACGTGTTCGATGCTGTCAGCAATGACCCAGCCCCAAGCTGAACTACCCCTTTGTGGTTTGCTTTAAGGGGACTCAGAAACACGCTCCGCCTGCAAGCAAAGCTGGCTGGTGCGAGCGGGGAGAAATCCCCCGATTTTGCCTGTTTGCTTGTTGGTTTGTGGTAAAATGCTCGTACGCATCCTGCTGACTCTCTCATCCCTGACAGCCAGCCAGCTGGAAACCAGAACGCAAGACGAAAGAGTAAAACAGTCCACATTAACCAGCTTTCGCGATTCGAGCAGGGCTTTGCGGCACGAGCGCGGGTGACACCTGCTTTGAATTAATGCATGTGGCCCAAATTGGTGACAGGAACTCTAAAAAGCTGGTACGTGTCTGATGAGAGTCAGGCAGGGACCCTACAACCCCTACAAGCAAAGCAAAATCCCCAACACAGACCCCAGCAAAGCCCTGGTTGAAACTTGAAAGATGGAGTTCAGAACGTGGGCTGTCCAAACTGATCGGGTCCCGGCGAAATGTTGTTTTTCTTTTAACCCTACAATGCCCTACAAGCCTAAAGGCCTAAGGAACCGGATACCTGGGAACCACCAAGTACCCAGAAGCCTTGTTTTTTTTTTCCCCCGACATCTTCGGGCCACGGTGAAACCGAAACGGACCGATTCGCGCTTGGGTTCCGAATCCTCAGGATGCCAGGCCGCCCCCTTTGGCGAGCGGCTCCTGCCGCGAGGACAAACCCGCGGCTGGCACCTTCGCACCTCGACCGGATGACTTGATTCATACTGTGGATGGACAAGATCCTGCAGCACAACATGAAACTATGTTTGAAACCATCAAGTTTGTTGGTATTTGCAGGGGAATCACCATTCCCGCATTCCTGGGTTTCTGAACGGTGGTGCAGGAGTTCGTGCATCCACAGTAGCACTGGCCAGCCACTATTCTATCATCAAAGTCAGCCGTAGGAAAACACCAGTTCAGTTTCTGATTTCGGCCTTCCAGCCCCAGAAACGGAAAAGAAACATCCATGATCCTAATTCCCTTTAAAAAAAAGGTGATCGTGCCCTTAAAAAATGAGTGAGTTTCCTTTTCTACGGTAGTTTGAGATGACCCAAGTATTGCCCTACCATACAGCAGTCCCGCTGAGGCCCGTGCTCAGAGCTACCCGAATAGGTTGCTATGAGAATAATCCCAATAGGTTGAGCCTCAAAATAGAAGGCGGAGCCTCAAAATTCGCGGGGTTTCCTGTTGTTCCCCTTTACCACACAAAACACGTAGCTGTTATCTCGCTTGTCTCAAAGACCCTACAAAACAGACTTGGGGAAAAGTACCTGGAATTCGGACCCCCACAACTCTAACTTAACAATGGGTCGTTGCTCCAAAATTGTGGTGTGTGAATTCCTTGTTTCCCAAACTATAGACCGAAGCATAGCCAATAAAGCCCCCGGGTCCATGGCACTGTGCAAGGGGTTCCTTTCGAGCAAATCTACTAGGTTGGGTCGGTTGACCTCGATTTGCTAGAGTGCCCTGGAACAAATAAACGTATTTCCAGTAGTGCACATGAAACAAATTCCACTAAAACCAACGAGTAAAATCAAATATATTCTGAAAAGCAAATGGAAGTTGAACATTTCTTCTGTGCCCAGCCATGCATTCAGTGGGGTTCTATTTTGAGTTGACTGCTAGCGCGCCAAAAAAGGTGGGGGGTGGGGGTTAGCTCAGAACGGTGTGGACCCCATTGATCATTTATTTGCTTCTGTGTGGACCCCTAAGCCGCATGGGCGGCGGGAGGGTTTATACTTCGTTGACCGACTGCTTCCAGGCACTCGAACTACCAGAGGGAATTCATCCCTACCAGAGGAAATTCTGAGGGTCCAGCTGTAGTGTAAGACCTAATCGCAGTCTCCTTCTGCCCCTTGAAAAGTCGGGGTCATGAACCTCCTTTTCTTTTGGGGGAACAAGGAGACTCCAAGAGGTAAGCCTCGCCCTGACCATCTGGAAGCAGAGACCCTGCCAGCCCGTCCTCCACACTTTGAGCTTGGCTCATGAGTGCGATCACCTGTGCTTGGCGTCTGGGATGACCACCTCAAGTAATCAAGCGCCGAATCTCCCACCAACTAACATGGCGGTGCCAAAAGCCCTTTTGAGGAGGAACGTAGTCTTTCCACAGGGGTCTGTGCACTGCCATGTTGGCTGGTGGGAGGGTAATCTCCCTGGTCAATAAGCGTTCACCGCTTACCTGAGGTGGGATGGGATCCATCGAAGCAGGGATCCCTCTTTTTCAGCACCCGATCCCAGAAAAGAAGTCCAAGGATCCAAGAGGGATGCAAGGCCAAACAAAATTGAGTGCCAACATAAGTTGCCAACTGAGCTGTTCAAGGTTAGCTACCCATGCGAAAAGGAGCAACTTTCACAATTTTGGGTTGCAACAGCCCATGTTTAAGGCTGGGAACTCCAAGGGTTGTTCTGCTTCAATAGGGCCACGAGTGCTTCACAGGTTCCCCACAAGCTCCACAAGCAAGCGAACCGCGCCTGCTTGAGTCTCGCCACCTCCTTGCTGTCTGCATTCCTGTGGGGCAAGTGGACCCTTCCCACATGTTTCCAGCCACAACTTGCTGGCTCGTGTAGGGAATTTGGGAATGACGTCCCACCAACCACTTGTTTGGGGTTCTGGCGGATGGTAAGGTTCCCGGATTCCCCACAAAGGTTCCACCAATTGGTTCCACCAATTTGGGCTCTAAAGGTTCTGGGCGGCTGGTGAGGTTTCCCGGACTCACGAAGCAAGTGGCCGGCCGTGTTGACACTTTGAAGAAGGGACAAGCAGCCACGGCTGATCCTGGGGAGTTTGCAAATGGATGAGAATGGGCTGCTTCCTTGTCCCAGGTCCCATGCTGAGGGATGGCTTGAGGTATTTCCAGGCAACCTGGACCCTCACGATTCCAACTAAAAAAACAGATGCAACCCTGGAGTCTCCTGAGCCTTTCCCAATGAAGATCACTATCATTCCCAGAACCCTCAGAATTCCCTTGAAGGTGGGTTCTTGCCCCAAAATTTATGGGGTGACTTGCCTTTGTCATGGGCAGTTTGAGGGATCCATGTACACAAAAAAAAGGGGGTTCTCATGACTCCCTGTTCAAAGGGTACACACTCCACTTGCTTGAATATGTTGGGCATCCGCCGTATGAAATGCTCGCAAAGGGGACTGTATACATCTGTTATATAGCTGGGAACTGCGATGTCCGTACCTGAAGAACCAATATGATCCAGCTCTGGGAGAAATCTTGCGGCACGCAAGTGTCCTGTTTGTCTCCCTTAGAATATTGTATGGGTCAAAATCAAACCACCAGGATATGGACCGCAGTTGTTTGTTTCCGTTTGGAACCAAATTGTCGACCCACGCCCGTGGAGAATGTGAGTACGGACAAACCAGCCAATCAAAGGCAAACAAAAAAACATCACCGTGCTTTTCTCCGGTTGCCTCACATGTGTTCCCTTTCCCGGTTCCGCTCACGTGTTCTTTTATGATATCGAAATTTAACACATCTCAACTCAATTGCCCCTTTGCGCCGGATCGGTCGCTTGGGGCCAGGGAGCTTCAGGGTCCAAAACGAAAGGGGTCAAAGGGTCCAACACCTGCAAGGCTCCCTTCGGTTTTCGCGCGTGGTGAAGGTTACATCTGCCAAACTGCACAGCCAGCGAGTCAACAAAACCAAACCAACTTTTACACCAAATCACTGAACCAGAAAGCCAAACAAACCACAATGATACTAGCCAAGCCAATCAGAAGCCAAACCAGCAAACACGCAACCAAACGAAAAAAGAGAGCCAACCGAACAAATCCGCGGCTCCTCTTGACATCATTGGTCACCTGCTTTGCCCTGGTGGCCCACTTCAGCGACATCATGGTTTCCTCGACCCGGCGCGGCGAAAGGCAAATCACGGCGAAAGGCAGATTCATCGAATGCGAACGTGTCCTTCCATTTGCTTAAGCCCACTGGAAGAAATCGCTATATTTCCAGTAGTGATGAATTCCCTTTAAAACCAGCAAGGGCAAATAACGCAATATTCTTAAGCAAACGAAAGTGTCTGTTGCAGACTTGATACTGTGGATGGTTGCGAAATGCAGCTGGCACCATGGTTCATGAAACCATGGTTGAAACAAACACATGTGTGTTGGTATTTACGTTGGGGAATCAGCATTCCGGGGTTTCTGAACGGTGGTGCGGGATTTCGTCCATCCACGGTATCACTTGTGGGTGTCTTTTTATGTATCGTTGACCCTGCGCTGCCGGCAAACCCGGAACCCCAGCTGCCGTTTTTTGGAAAACACTGGATTGAGCGTTCCAACCCTACCACCTTGGAAAGATCCTGTCGAAACGCCCTACAGAGAGCAAATCCGATTTGGTTTGATTTTGTTAGTATAGGTGGTCTGAGAAGCAAGCGGGAAATAGAACACCGCCACCGCCTGCGGTCAGCCAATTGGGTGGTCCCACTTTGCACTGAGAAATACGAACTTTGAGCATCATTTCGGCCCTTTCCGGTCAAAACAATCAGGAGTCTAGAAAGAGCAAAAGCGGGCAATCGTCAATCTGCCTGCGGTTCCCAAATATATGGATGTATATGGTGGGTGTACTAATCTTGCGTGGATTGCC